ATATACACATATATGTGTGTGTGTGTGTGTGTATGTGTGGTTGCACAAGATAACTTCTTAAAACAACACATTCACAGTGAACACACCAGTTTATTTAAACCTCAGATGATAAAGGTTACAGGGCAACCAAATAAATCCATGTTTATACAGTAATGATCTCACAGCAAATATTAGAAAAAACAATTTCATTTGATTCGATTTGTACAGGTCAGGCACCAAAAGTAGCTCATTCTGATTTCGTCTTCAGACTAAATAAGTGCTGGAAAATATGAAAGAGACAAAAATAATAATTTACAGGCAAATATCTGACTGCTTCCTTCCGAATACAAATACTTACATTTATTGCACAAAAACAACATTTTGTGTGTTTATTTCTGACACACACTCACAGCTGATTTGCATTTAGTAAGAAAAAACATTAAGAGCTGGTTCTGACCTGGTAAGTCATCGTCAACATCACACATTTTATTATTACCCATAATTCCCTGTGCATGTTCAAAAATTATTCTTGTGAAAAACAATTTTTTTGTCTTATCCATTTTAAAATATTAATTAAAATAGTTTACTGTTGCCAGATTTGCTTTCAATTCTTAGAAACCAGTTCAATATAAAAACAATCTCAAGTATGGCTTTTTTTAAACTTATTTTTTTAATTGTATTTTTTCAACAGGTAAGCTGTTCAGACAGGCAATAAGTAAAATACTAATACTATTCACATTTATAGACCAACACAGCCATAAATAAGTATGTGAAAACAGCTGGAAAAGAAAAGAAAAAGAAATTACAACTGGTTTTGAGGTTCTAAATAATCCTTCACTTTTTTAACAGCATGCCGTTTAATCTTTCACCACTAGGTGGTGCTGTTTACATACAAAAGTAGCGGAGAAGCGCAGTTTTCACTGATTATCCACAGGTGACTACTTATGGATAAGGCACGTGGATCAGAAGACTGAGCTCAAAATACAAGTACAAATTCTCTGTCTTTCTTTCTTTCTTTCTTTCTTTCTTTCTTTCTTTCTTTCTTTCTTTCTTTCTTTCTTTCTTTCTTTCTTTCTTTCTGTTTTTTTTGGAAACATTTTTAAGGAGCTCAGTCTCACGCTGACTTCTACTGAAAAAAATGTGTGTGAAAGTCATACTTTTTTTCACACCCTGATATGTCTTTGCAAATAACAAAAATTAGGTTAAATTTAGGCTAATTAGGACGTCAGTAAGTTTAGCATAAATTAGCTTCACTCACTCTTTCAAAAAGGTGAAGCAAATTTTAACATTCTAATATCTTCCTTGACAATTAAACTAAAAACAATGATCAAAACAAACTTTGCCTGTGTACTGCTTAGATTTTTGTTCCCAGTCTTTATAATGTGGCTAAAAAATTTCAATTGTAGTTTTATATTTCTTGAAATCAAGCTCTCAGATTGACTCCTCACAGTCATTACAACCCAACCAGTTCTGAGTGCTTCATGTTTTCTTGGAGTTCTGTTTTTCTTTCTGCTTGCGGAGGTGAGCTTCGATCTCGTGCCTGAAGAAGAGCATTCCCAGCTGGCCGTGCGAGGCCTCGTTCATGGCCTTGGACTGCATGCACATGCGGTACTGGTCTGGGGGCAGCTCGTCGGCACAGTGCTTCTCGTGCCACAGGTGGAACAAGCCTCGAGACGGGGCCCGGACCACCAGCAGGTTGCTGTGGAGGTACTTTCTGTAGAGGTGGACATCTTCTCCGCCCCAGCCTTTGATGTCAATGTCAAAACCTCCTGAGAGATCAGAGTGGGTGTATCAGATCAAGGTTTTAGGAATGGGTATCATCAGAAATGGGTATCAAAATATTTGCAACACAGCAGACCCTGGAACTTTGCTTTTAAAGTGCACAGCGACATTTGAAATGACAAAGGCACATAGCAACTATGTTACCTTCAGTTGGCATGAAAAAGCTGTATATATCAAAAAATAAATCGGACTTTGTATCTAAGCCTGTCTAAAGCCATGACGTTTTTCTCTGTTTCTTTTAAGAACCTCCTACTGTTTCAGACACTCCCACTAGCACGTCTTCACAAAAATGCTTTGGGGGAGAGGTGCTCTGTGGGGCGGGCGCTCAGTTGCAGACTGAGCTCCAGGGAGGAGCTTTGTACAAATAGACGGTGCTTTGTACCAGTAAGTGTTCAGGCAGCTCCACATGGCTATAGGCGATGCAAGGATTTCTCAAACATGCATGAATAAGAATAACATGATATAAAGCTTAAAAAAATACCCCCAACACCACTCTTAAAAAAACCCCGAGGATAATAACTAAGGAGTCTGGGTTTGTCTGCTCCACATTTGCTCTCTTGCATTTGTGCAAATGTACTTGCCAGTAGACAATTCCAATAGAACACAAGCCCCTCAAAAATTCAGGGGTCTGCTGTTCATGTTTCGACTTATGTTTCTCTAAGAGTGCAGATTTTAGACTTTGTGTTGTTTGGACTAAAGCAGTATGTGATCAAGCATGCATTTCAAATGCTGCTTTGTCTTCACTGCAGTTATTTTGTTCATTTCAGTTTTATTAAAACTCAAGCTCCAAGGCTAAACAAAGAGTAGAACTGAAATATAAACACAAAATTATTCCTGGATTGATTTTTGAGTGTGTGTGGGTTCATTATGAAGAAAAAAAAACGTGATAGTCATTAGGAAACATAGGAGTTTGTCACAAAAAAACTTTCATAAGGAATATTCTCTTTCTCTTTCTAAGTGTAATTAACATGCAAATCCACTTCGTGCCAGCAGGGGGCAGACTGTGTCAGACTAAACTTTGTGAGAACACCTCCGGGGTTTCATTTGATTATTTGACAACTTAGTTAAGATTTTGATTTTTCTCATAGTCTAAATCTGTAGTCTGAAACTCCCTCAATACAATAGGAAGTTTTGAACTTTTGATCCTACATTAAAATGAAGTAAAGATTCTCCATTCTGGTCAACTCTGCTGTTTCCTATCAGTTTTATTCATTTTTTTTCTTTAAAAAATAAGTACAATTTTGAACTTAAAGCTTCAAAGCGAGAACTCCTACACCTATTGGCAACATCAGCGCATGTGTGTTTATTTGCTTTTTTTTTGTAGTTTGTGTGTGTGCACGTGCGTTTGTGCCACCACAATAAGACGCTGCCGCATCGATTTCATTTTGGATGGAAACAGATTTGATGGAGATCTGTCTGAGGCACTGATATAAGTCAGCAGGAGTGTCGATGCAGCGGAGGTGGGCAGATGCTAATAGATGCTGCAGTTGCTGCTTGGAGATTGTTTTATGCAGAGAAAAGTAATAAAATCTCCTCCCTGTTAGAAACGGAAGGCAATCCTTCTTCTTCATGTCTATTAGAACCATTAACATAGCAGTTATGCATATGTTTCTGGTGTAATTGAAGCGGCCTGATTTTTACTGTTATATAATAACTCAACACAGATAATTAACTCTCAGGAGGAAGTGTTTATGAATTCCTGAAGACGCTGCGACTGGTACCTCTGCGCTGAACGTCCCCTTATGTGAATGTTGTTGTTTTGTTACATTTACCGATGTTGATGAAGTCGGACCTGTACTGGCAAGTCATGCCGAAGCCAAAATCCCTCCAGAAGCCCGTGTCTTTCTTGATTACCTGCAGGGAGGAGTTAGAGATTTACAAACTTCAACACACACAGCAGGATCTGTAGACCGAGCAGCTGGAGCGACTAAATATTTCACAGTATTTCCCCCCCCCAACACACACGTGGCTTGAGGGAAGGAAAAATCAAAGAGATGGATTTGATTGTTACCAGTTGCTGCTCCACAGGCGGGATGTGCTCAGGACTTCCATAGATCAGAGTGGGGTTGTACTGGCTGAATAAGACGGGGTAGAAGACCTTCTTACCTGCAGAGACACAGCAGATATCAACCAACTTACTTCTGCAACACGTCAAAATGATTGTTGTGTGTTCACTGCTTCCCTGCTTTGATTTTGTCATAACTGTTTGTAATCTAGTTTTGCATTCTTTCTTTTTTAAGCTGTTTATTTATATATATTCAGCTGATTGTGTGCTGTGACTTTCACTTTTTGCAATGTTTTTACATTACCTGCTACCTTTGCAATCAAAAGAGCCCTTTCTGCTCCTTGGCTCACTAATAAAACATATCCAGAGCTGTGAAGCATGTCGAAACTGTGATTATCAACTGCTGGTTCAAGTTGGTTAAAACTAGCTTCTTTTTTTTTGGCCTGTGAGGTATACATCATAAAACTAATAAAATAACGTAACTCTTAACATTTACGATTATTTTTACACTTTAGGATAAAAGAAAAGACCGTATTCATGTAAACAAGGAAAATATGGTTAAATTATTTTTTATTGTAATAATTTGAAAATTGCTTTAGCATTCTTGCTCGATTTATGTCTTCATGAGCTACTTTTAGCTACACTCTAGCATTTTGCTACTTCTCAATCCAACAGGGCCGTAAAGTGTTAAAATACACTGAGCTCCCATGGTTCTGAGGTCTTTTTTGGGTTCATGTTCATAAGTGACTTTATTTGATTGTATTTGCTTTGTTTGTTTAAGCAGATAAAAGCAGAAATATCAGTTTTATTGTCATCAACAAAAGTGACCTTTACTTTTTGTTCTTTTTATGCAAAAATGGCAAAAAAAACACTTACAGTATTTCTTCTTTATTATTTCATTTTGTCCTGACAAAATTATTATTCACTTCAAAAGATCAGAAGCATTCTAGCTTTTTAAAACATTCAACTGGAAGAAGCCCGGGGGATGCTGCCTGCAGTCAGATACTGCTCTTTTGGATTTTAACCAGTGTTTTGCTTCTATGAGCTTTTAGCTTTGCTTCTTTTAGCTTGTCCGCTTCTTCAGTAAATTTCAGCAAAGCCACTCAGTGTTCAGGCATAACTTTTCCTTTTTTTTCAAATTCAATTTCCCAACAAGCCTTTAGACACTTTCACCATATGGTTTGAAATCATTTGAAAGGGTTACAGCTATTTTATTTACCGTAGACAAGTGAAAACAAACATTTTCAGACATTTACAGCTCAGTGTTGTTTTCTCAAAATACGAATCCACGACCGGACAGCGTCATCGTCAAGTCCCTGAATCATATCAACGCTCTGATCTCAGTGTGGTGGGCTTCTATTCTGAGCTCTTCCTGGATTTCTGAACTCAGTTCTTGTCCAAAAGAAACATGAGGAAATTATCTGCTGCCACCAAGCCACGCCACGGGAAGGTTAATTACATTTGTCAGGGTGAGCTCAGAACTTTATGTGTAACATTTGGCTATAGAGACTCACTAGAATTTTTTTGTTGTTTAGTTTTATGTTTTTGTTGCCTTTTTAGGACCTTTTTCTGGAAAGAACGCCTACCATATCTGGACCAGTATTCCTTTTTGGGAACAAAGCCTGGTCCTAATATGATATAACACCATTTTTTGGTTAGGGGTTAGGTTTAGGACCAAGGTGTTTGTTGAGGGTGGGGCTAGAGTTAGGTAAGTACAGGTAATGGTTAGAGTTAGGGTTAGAAATGAATGGAAGTCAATGCAGGATCCTGTTACGGATAGAAATACAAACTTGTGTGTTTGTTCTAACATATTGCGAGACCCATTTGTCCAAAACATAATACCTTGTGGAGAAAAATGAATGGAAGTTAATGCAAAGTCCCTGTGAAGATAGCAAGACGTGATATTGGTGTGTGTGTGTTTGGCATCTCACCAGGCTGTGTGTTCAGCCTGCAGGCGTTCAGGAAGTCAGCAGTGAAGTAGATGTCCACGTCGCAGAAGAAAAGCAGCACGTTGCCTCCCTCCCAGGCTCGGGCCCCCACGTCCAGACCCCGTCCCCGAGAGAACTCCTCGTCCAGCTGCAGCAGAGTGTAGTTCTTAAAACTCGCCTCTCTTTTAATGGACCGTGAGAAGAAGAAGAAAAAAATCTTGACTTAAAAGTTGAACTTTGCTTCTTTGAATGACAAGAAAGTATGAAACTGTTTATAATGATTTCTGCAGGCATCATGGGTCGCTTAAAGTGCCTGTGACATTAAATTTTTGTAATAAACATGAATGCATTTTTGGAAGGAAAACACTGATAACATACTGCAAAACAAATTTCATGTCGCTGAGATGAACAGTTGTTGAGATATTTGCATGTGAAGAAACAGGAAGTGATGTCAAAGGGGAATGTCAGCATGTAAACAGAGCGTTGTTATAAAAGCTCACAACACAGACTGTAGAGAAGAATCTGATGTTTCTTTAGAGTATTTTAGTCGCTATCAAAGAGAGACGAAAAAGAGTTGAAGTTTAAATAATTTTGTTTTAATAAACAGAGACCAGCAAGTTTATTTTATTAAAGAGTTCCCCTTTGATGTCACTTCCTGTTTCACTTTGGCTGAGCTAAATTTAAAAGAAAATAGGCCAGTTATGTGGAAAATGGGTAAAATCATGTGTACCATGCCAATTTTATTAAGTATAAAGATGTTTTCTTTAACTTTTTGTATTTGAAGGATAGGCATGTCACAGGCACTTTATAGAATGCTAACTTCATTACAACAATATGAGACAGATTATTTTCCTCAGTCCTAATGTGCTTGACTTTTGGATTGTTTTTTGCAGAAATGGTATCTTTGATGTTTATTTACTCCGAGTTAAGACTTTGATGTTCTGCTGTGCTTGAATCTTGCTACTTAACTTCACTCGTTGATGTCAAAACAGTTTATTTCTGCAAACAAAGAACATTTGCAGGAAACACTTAAGTTAGAAAAAATGTCAACCGAAAAGATAAACCCATCTTTTATAGGTATCTTAACATTTTTATCTTCTGCAGGAGTTTTCATCTTCTTTTATTGGCTGCAGGATTTATCAGCAGATCAGCTTTTCCCAAGAAGAAAACAAAACAAAAGCAGAAAATATGTATCATAAAGTTATTAACATTAACATTCCTGGCCCACACTGTCTGCCTGTTGGCAAAATATCTCATTAACTATTACATGGATTTTAATAAAACTTTTGAAAAATAATCACCGGATGTCCAACTACAACTGATTAAATTTTGAAGTCTCTTCATTTCAAGATGGCTGCCACAGTCGACTGATCACTGAAAACACAGAAAGTGCTATAAGTCGGTCACTTTTACAGATGTCATGCTAAAGTTTGGTGTGGTATTAGCTGAAAGCTTTACAAAACGTACACCAAGTGCCATTCGATGTGCAAGATCTTCACTTAAAACTTGGGCATTAACTCTTGGTGTCAACCTTGTTTGTCTGTTAGCAGAATATTTCATGACACACCAGGTGAATTTTAATGGAATTTGCAGAAATAAGTCATCAGATGAACATTTACAACTGTTTAACTTTTGGAGGCAATTTAAATCAAGATGGCTGCCACAGCCAATGGTCATTAGCTTGAAGAAAAATGGCTCTAACTCAGTCAATTTTACAGATACTGAGCTAGAATGTGACAAGGAAGTATGCATAACATTTTTTTCCCCATTTGACAAAAACAGCCACTACTTCTACCATTTCTCAACATAAGATGATCTTAGTCTCAGATTTGGGCATGAAAGGTGTTGGCGGGTGACATGCAACCCTCAAAGCTTCGCTAGGTCTTTGATCTAGCTCTGATTTGAGCGCAGAGTGAAGACAAGTTGAAAAAAAAAAGTAGTACGAGCAGGAAACAAGCCTTCCTCTGTTGCAGACTTCATAAATGGCTGCGGCTTGAGTAAATAGAAACAGCTGGATCCAGATGCACGCAGCTGTGGCGTTTTCATTAACCAAAACAAATCACGCTGTTAGTCACTAATCCTTCACTCATCCTCACGCCTACACACACACACACACACACACACACGCACGCACGCACGCACGCACACACACACACACACACACACARATATATCGTCTTCAGATGGGGGAAGCTGAGGACAGGCAGGCCCACATGTCTTAGTTAGAAGCAGAACAAACAGGATAAAACATCCTGTTTCATTTATGCGATGCTGAGTAAAACGACACATGGGAAGCAGCAGCTCGAGGGGCAGAGATTTGTGGGAGGAAACAAGCATGACCAGAGGAAACAGTCCACCTGAGGCAGCCTGAATCATCCCACCCACAATGCCGTTTCTGCGCTACACGCCTGCTTTTTGTCTCCAGTGTGTTTCAGCAGATTTGCTCACTTGTGCGACAAAGCGTAAAGCCTTTTGTCTCGCTCCGACCCGCTCAGCCTGCCCCACAAATAAGACACGAGGAAACCTTTATGATGCTAAAACATCCCTAAATCCCCGAGACTAGAGCGTTCAAGTCGGTCCGAGTCCAAACAGTCAATCTGTGTTTCAGGGCCCAGCAGCGGAGGACTGTGCTGCTGGCACTGAAGTGTCCACAGATGGCAGAGACGGGACAATGCTTCTGCTTGTTTCCAACACGACACCGGCTGCATTCACATGCTTTTTTAGGTTCAGCTTTATTACGGCACAAAGTTCATTTTGTCTGAGAATCAACAAAAAAAAAAAAACATCAGCTGTTAAGTGAAGGAGGCTAAATGACTTGATCGTTTTCATGGTTTGTTCAGGAAAAAGCAGAAAGAAGCAGAATCAAGCGTGAGCAGCTGAAAGTCAGACCAACTCTGCGTCGTCACACAAGAGACCAGCAGGAAATCTGTAAAGTTACATTTAATTTATTATTAAATAAACATTTTTTTTCACTGCTGCAGAGATGTAAACAAACTAATGCGTCTAGATTTAATCCAAAAGTTATCTGTACAAATATGTTATTCTTTATACCATTTGCAGTTCAGACTAATCTCCATCAGCCAACATCAACATCAATAATGTTTTGTTTTAATTAGATAAGGTTATAATGATTTTTTAATCAAATACAACTAAAAATGAAGACAAGCTGCCTGTATTGACGTATTCTCAAAATCACCAATGTCACCCTGAAAGTTATTTTGTATTAAATTTTAATCCAGTTATGGATTTTAAAAAACTCTGTAAGAAAGTGTCCTGATGCATCAGTTATCCAGGTAAAAAATCAAAAAGAAAAAAATTGTATAGGTCTTCTGGACGGGTTCTTCTCTAATGAAACGTTTCGTCTCTTCTCCAAGAGACTTTTTCAGTCTGAGAGTTTCAGGCAAAATTCAGGCTTTTAAGCCCTGCCTCCATGTGACTGATACTCACATCACATGGCTATCGCTGACACCTAATTAACACCTATTGTTAACAGGGGTGGAGTGATACTGGCATTGGCCGCGCTGTAGGAGGGGGACAACTGAAAACGGAGGCTTCCCCCTCTGTTTAATGACGGACGGTCTTCACAAAAATGGCTTCTTTTACTCCTCTCTCAAACCAACGTTCCTCTCTATCAAGAATGAGAACATCCTCATCTCTGAAAGAGTGACCACTGGCCTGTAAATGAGTGAAAACTGCAGAGTTCTGGCCATTAGACGTAGCTCGTCTGTGTTGGGACATTCTTTTGAACAGTGGCTGCTTTGTTTCCCCGATGTATAACTGGTCGCAGTCCTCCTGGCACTTAACAGCATATACAACATTGCTCTGTTTGTACCGGGGCACCAGATCTTTGGGGTGAACCAGCCTTTGCCGTAATGTGTTTTGGGGTTTGAAAGCCACTGGGGCATCATGTTTAGAAAATAAACGTCTCAGTTTCTCCAAAACACCCGCAACATACGGAATAACCACTGGTTTGGGTCTGGGTTTGGGGTCTTCATTTTCACCTGAAGGTTGCATGGAYTCCTGTCTGTGTTTCCTGTCTGCTTTCAGGAAAGCCCAGTCAGGATAACCACACTGCTCCAGGGCCTGTCYTGTGTGTGATTTCTCTTTCTCCCTGGCTCCTGGGTTTGTAGGGACACTGTCTGCTTTGTGGTACAGAGTCCTGATCACTCCTAACTTGTGTTCCAGTGGGTGGTGAGTGATGTGATGTGAGTATCAGTCACATGGAGACAGTGCTTAAAAGCCTGAATTTTGCCTGAAACTCTCAGACTGAAGAAGTCTCTTGGAGGAGAGACGAAATGTTTCATTAGAGAAGAACCTGTCCAGAAGACCTATATAATTTTTTTCTTTCTGTAAGAAAGTGTTTGTGCTGATTTAGCATTCATCCTATTGATTTCCTGTGATTAATTTTTCTTTTACATTTCCTGCAGTCTAATTACTTCTGCATATTTTGCGCTCTTTTAATCATTCATACTTTAAAATATGCTGCTCGTTTAGGAGACGGGGGCTGCTATGTTTGTTTTTTTGTAACTTTTATACCTTTCAAATTATTTTATTGTATTTACTTTATTGGCAACACAACAGCAAAGTGGTTCAGTGGATCAGCAGCACTGTTGTCTCACAGCAAGGAGGTCCTGGGTTCGATTACCAGTTCGAACCTGGGGTCTTTCTGTGCAGGGTTTGCATGTTCTCTTCATGCTTGCGTGGGTTTTCTCCATTTTCCTCCCACAGACCAAAAACATGCACAATAAGTTGCCTTCAGGCACAGATCTCTTGTAAAAGATCAATGGGATTTGCCCGGTTAAATAACGATAAAATGAAATTTACAAATATTTTCTTTACAGAAATGTACTGGGATCTTTTCACTTTCTTCAAAAACATTGTTCTTTTTGAAATCGACTTTAACATATTTGCTGTATTTGTTCTTTTTGTACTGTGTTTAAGTTTTAGCTACTGTTCTGCTGCATTTAGCTTTGAGACTGTGTTTCGGTCTTTTTAGCTTTCAGCTAGTGTTCTTTTAAATGTAACGCCACAGCTTCAGTTACTTTAGCACATTCTAGTCTTTTAGCTGTCAGTGTTCATGCTGCATCTGAACAGAAAACAGAATTATCTGGTTGATTATTACTTCTGCTCTGTTCAGCAGCAGCAGCTGGAGTTACAGGATCTCCTCTGTACAATTTTACAAAACACCAAAGATCCTGGGCTGTATGGGTAAATCAGTAGTCAACACATGCAATGCAGAAACAAGTGCAACGCTATAAAAAATGCAGAGTTGTTTCCAGCTAAAGCCTGAGGCAAGACAGCTACAATTTAATAACTCTGAGTAAACCGGATCTGTAATAGAAGCAGAATATGTCAGATTTATAGCTACACTTGGTTTGTTCTTAGATAATTTTGAACTTCTGCCTAATGTTTTATGTCTTTCTCTGAGCTTTTAAAGATTTCATTGAACTTATTCATCTGACAGTTTGAAAAGCCACAATTTATGAAAGGCAAATTGCCAAATGAAAAAAAAAGAAACAGTTTGAAGAAGTGATTATTTTTTTCAATCCTTTTATCTTTTTCCAGCATCCTGTATAATCCTTGTTCATCGACTTGTTCCATCCTTGAAAATTAGTGTCTTTTTCCACGTCAGTTTGCCTTTCCAGTCTTATCAGCGCACCTCTCCACTAACTTCCTTTCCCACAGTTTTTTCCTGAACCTTCATCTCGTCTCTGCGTCCACAACACATTATTTACATGTATTGACTAAACGGAGCGCTTTACACTTCTCTCTCCTTTAATCACCCCCCACCTTGGTGCCCCCCCCCTCCTCCTCTTTATTTCACACTGTTGTGAATTTCTATTCTGAAAGATGTGAGCGTCAGATATTTACAGCCTCTCCCCCCAAGAGAGTCTAGGGTTGGAGCTTTGAAGTCTGATTTTCTAAGCATTATTTTTGAAATGGGACCATCTGAACAGGTTTATTTTAAAACACGTCTTATAAAGTGGGAAGTTTGAGAATACTGAAGTCATCATTTTTTGAAGCATTAACTTCTTGTGTTTTTTCTGATAGTTTTGTCAAAATAATAATAAAAATAAATGAATAAATGAATAAATAGACTGGTCGCAAAATGTCATTATGATTTTGTGTGTGTACGTCTGTTAGCAAAATATCTCATGAACCACTAAACTGATTTCAATAAAACTCGCAGACAGTAATCACTGGATGAATTTCTACAATTGATTAACTTTCTGAGTCAGCAAAATTCAAGATGGCTGCCACAACCAACTGACCGATAGAAAAAAAAACAATGGGTTAACTCAGTCAGTTTTCAAGATATTGACCTAAAATTTGCTGTGGTACTAGCTGAGACTAACCCCAACTCAGATGCCAATGGCCGACAAAATATATAGGATCTTTACTGAAGATTTTGCCAAAACCTATTTGTGTTCAACTCTTTTTGTCTGTTAGCAAAAATTCTCAAAAATCACTGGATGGATTTTAATGAAACTTTCAGGAAATAATCACTCCATGCACAACTACAACTTGTTAGTTTTTGGAGTTAACCCTGATAAAAAATAGCTGTTCTAGCCAACTGACATTACAAAACATAAAATTAGCTGTAACTCAAACAGTTTAAAAAATATTGAGCTAAAATTCTGTGTGGTAGTAGTTAAGCATCGTCTCCAACACATACTTTGAGGGCAACCCACTGTGCAACCTTTTAGCCTTAAATATAACCATTTTCTGTTGAAGTATTTGTTAGCGAAATATCTCATAAACCGGTGAGCAAATTTAAATGGAACCTTCAGAAATGAATCACCTGATGGCCATCTACAAGTGACACAATTTTGGAGTCAACCCAATTCAGCCAATAAACCATCTTACACAAAAAACGTTGCTGTATGAGAGTGCACACAGTTATTTTTAAGGCTTGACAAAAATCACTTAAAATTTCTCAACACAAGATGATCTTAATCTAAAAATTGAAAGCTTCTAGTTTGCTCCTTCATTGTTTTTATCTCTGACATTTACAGCCTCGAAATTTGTGATCTTTACTTCACTTTCAGGATCAGTTTTTTTTTTAAGTGTGCAACAGAAAGACAAAGAGACGCTGCGTGATACTGGAGGTGGTCCGACTGATTCAAGGCCGCGCATGAACCTTCAAGGCAGGGAAATCGACAAGTGGGGTCTGATTCCTGATCAGCCCACAGCCATCGTCTCCTGGGGCGGTGTGGACGTCCAGGTCCACGGCCGAGGGGAAGGGTGAGTCAGGGACAATCACAGGCCCTGTGTAATTTATCGGGGTTGGCTCCTCTGCCTGCATGGCACGCTGCTCCATTATTCATCGAGTGGATGGCTGGCTGTGGCAGGATGCCGAGCCAGGAGTGGGTGTGTGTGTTTTAGTTTTGTGTGTCATGACAGGGAGACTGATTACAGAATGCAAAAAAAGAGGAGGCGGTTCTAGTGCAGAAGCTGTACAAAGGTTTTATCACCCGCCATCATAGATGAGTAATAATACTTTTATGTGTTTGTTAGCAAAATATCTCACGAATCACAGGATGGATTTTAAAGAAATTCTCAGAAAGTTCTTCATACACGGATTAACTATTGGCGTTAGCACGTGTCAAGATTCCTCCAAGGAACTGTAGGTTTTTACTGTTTTACTGCATCTTTTTTTACAGTCGGCTCCAGTGTAATCCAGTGGACGGCTGCAGTTCAAACCCACCTGGATGTGTTTTCCAGAGTGCTGCGGACTTCGCTCATCTGCTCCTTCCCAAAATACACCACTGTCAGATGCACCCGGCCGTCCTGACGCACGCACACCTCCCTGTGCACAAAGAGGCACACAAAAAATGGGACATTGGGGATGAAAGCTGGACACAAACTGAACAAACCAGGGATCAGGAGAAAGGAAGAGAACCAGGACGACTCTCTTTTGTGTGAACGTGTGGAGGTTTTATGATGGAAGTGAGCGGGGCCATGAATCGGCTTCAAAATGAGATTAAAGGCAAGTCAAATTGTCTGATCGAGTTGGCAGGCACCACTATCAACACAATGTGTCTGCAGTTCTGGACGTTGTTTTCAAGTGCTTGCTGAGTTCAGCTTTTTAGTTTCTGCAAATTGATGGGGATGAAGATAAAAAAACATAAATAAAAGCATGAGACAGAGTTATCCTGTGATAAACTTACTGACAAAGGAGTCACACCACTGAAATAGAAACACATTAAGATTGCAAACCAGTGACGTTTTTGCTGAGAATTTATGCCGCCGTCTTGGTAGGTGCTACGTGGCATCCTAAGTATGTGGATATCTGAATGAATAACTGAGCAATAAAATTCAGTCAGTCAAGTAGCCTTCGGGTAGGCATATGCCAGCAAAATGAAAACATATATAAGATTAATTAAACAGCTTCTGAAACAACAATAAGTCGACTTGTTGGACCTACTGTATTTTATCAGTGAATTAGTACATAGGCTAAACAAAAGCTCAGTAATCCCTGTCTAAATACTGAAATGCATGGTACAGAAGGCATAAATATGTTCAGAATTATAAGGAAAACAAAATTTAAGGTAATTTGTGTAAATAACTACAGACACTGTTAGCAGAGCTGTAGTTGGACAAAATAGAATTACTCAATAAGCAAATATGTACTGGTTTTGTTTGAAGGATTACAGTACTTAGTAATTTTATAGAAGTGACATAATGTAAAGGTTCAGTTCATTTATTTTTTAAGGCCCAGGCTTGATTCTTATGTGCACAGCAGCGTGCTGGATTTGCTGCCAATGCCTGACTGAGCTTTGTGGGATGCTCATTACAGTGGTCTTGTCCCTTGTTTTCACAATATGCACACAAATGTTTATTTAAGTAAAATAAAGCTATTTCTGTTCCATTTTGGATTGATGACACATCACACAAGGCCTCAAGAAGGTGTTACCAACAGTACAGAGTGATAGGAGTAGCACCTAACAAGATGGCAGCCACATAACTCACCTCAGTGGTGATTCCAAAGTATCTCTATTTCAGCAGCAGACACCCGTCTTCAGAAAAAGTTGGGATCTTGTTAAATCGAACAAATGTAATTGTTTTTTTTTCTATTTTGGATACAGGTATTTATATTATTAGAAAGGCTGTTTTTTCCTCCTCAGGATAAGAAAACACTTCTTCTGTTCTAATCATTTTGTTGTGATATAAGACAGACTTATGCTAAAAGTTTGAGTGCAGAACTTGCAAATTTTCTTGCAATTTAGCAGAAAAAAGGTATTTTTTTTCCCCAGTGAATGAATAAATATATTCTGATGAAAAAAAAAACTGGTTGTGTTTATCAGCCAGACACAGTCTGTGACACATGCTGCCTCTTTCTTTTGCACCTTTAATACAGATGAGAAGAAAACTGTTTACTCAGCAACTCAACAAGTCTTTCAACATTTTTGCCAAGCCGTGTATCAACCACCCAGGGAAGGGGGTCATTTTAATGGGCTCCAACAATTCCACTAAGCATGTAAAAAGAGCTGTGATAAGCAGCAGTGGTTAAACTATAAATCACACACATTAAAGAGGAAAGCTCTAAAAGCTCCACTGATCGTAGCAGACTGCTGAAACAACCATGTGATGTTAGCCGATGAGTTCGGACTGCTGGCCCTGATGTGATTTTACACAAAAGTTATACATTTATTTTCATTTTGCTGCACTCACTTAGAGATTTAGACTTTTCTACTATTCTACAAAAGATATTTTTGGTTAATAAGTACATCATCTATGGATCCCTGGAATGTCCCAAATGTAATCTTAAAGAATGCTTTAAGCACTTTTCTAAACAGTATCAACAACTACTGATGATTCTGAGCAGAAAAGCTCCAAATCTCTGCTAATTTTCCTGCAAGGTAGCAAATTTATTTTTAATATAAGCTGGGAAATCTTCATGTTCAGATAAAGTTGGAAGTTTCCTCCTTCAAATACAAAAAATTAGGAAACGCGTATGATTCAAGACAACTTTCGAGGGTTCTTCCCAATTTGCAAGACAAATTAAGCAATTTCTCTGAAACCTGTCATGTCTTCAGCTTGATCCAGGTATTTGATTAGTTCAGGGGTCTGCAGCTTGTGGCTCGGGGGCCATATGTGGCTCCCTCTGCAGAGGATCTGTGACGCTTTGAATCAAAGCTAACATGAGATTTCTTTTTATTTTTTGTGGGGTGGGTCATACTCGATAGAATAGGTTAGCTTTAGCAGTTTCCCTCTCCATATTTTTGCAAATATGTGAGCAATACTATTAATACAAAATGTGAAATATGCTGATTAGATCCAGGGTGGGCAATCCTGGCCCTTGAGGGCCACTATTCTACATGTTTTGCATGCTTCTCTGCTCCAACACACCTAGTGATTGAATTACCAAGATGGTAATCATCCATTCATTCAAATCACATTGGAGCAGAGAAACAACTAAAACCTGCAGGATAGTGGCTCTTGAAGACCAAGATTGCCCACCCCTAATGGCCACTCAGACTTAAAGTGTGATGTTTCTTTCAAAACCACCAGGATTGCATTAAAAGACATGTAGTTTTTATTAAATTCAGTAAACTTCTGTAAATAAAATATTTTTATTCTTTACACGAATTTAGTCTTTACCTTTGTCCAAGTGTAAAAAACAAACAAAAAAAACCCCAACAAAAAACAAAACATATAAATTTACCTACTAGTCGAAAAGACCCCTCTTCAAAAAACTTGAAATGGCCCACGGACCACCAGTTAATAATCACAGCTGTAGCATGTTTTGTGGCACTGGACACACTTTGTTAGTGAACCAAAGAGCAGAAAAGGCTCTTTTAACTGTAAAGGCTGCAGACCCCTGGTTTAGTTTGACCTTAAATGACTTAATACCTGATTTGATGTGACGGATCACATTTGATGGAGAAACTCATCCCTTTGATCTTGTAAGAGAGGATAAAACTGATTTGCAGTCTGTTAGAACAGCTTTAATCTAGTTGATGTTCTGGTTATGCCTGCTAGCACCAAATAAATTAACTGATAAGACCAAAAATACAGTTTTCACTCCTGCAGCCTTCCTCACTCATTCCCCTACTTTGCACAATTATTAGCCATGGGCGTCTCATTTTTCTGATTGAGTTACGTGTGATAAAATAAAATAAAATAAAAAAAGAAACATTATGCATGATTTATGGCGTTTCTTATCGATGCCACACTGTTTGACTGACTTGAAGTTGTGCATGAACTGTTTGAATTTATCCGTTCGTCCAGACAGTGGGACGATGATGTTAATCGGGACGTCAGCCGTGTCCATCCCCTCGCTTTTCACCTTCATCAGGGGTCCGAAAGGCCGGAAGAGGACCAGGCGTCGGAACTCATAAGTGGACTCCCCTCTGAAGGTCAGCTCGTACAGCGTCCCCTTGTCCTTCTCTGTACGAGTGATACCTGATGGGCAAAACAAACACCTGAAGTCAGGACCAAATGTGTTTATGGATGAAGTAACAACGCAGGCATATGTCATGGTCTTAGTTTTAGTTCTGTAAGTTTATCTTGGTTTTTACAGTTCTTTGGTCTTGTTTTCTTACATTGTAAAAAGGGGAGATCTTTACCACAAAGCAGGTTCAACAGATCCAGTGATCCAGTTTAACAAATGCCTTTTGAAGCTTTTTTGACTGTCACAAAAAAGATGTAATTGGCATCAGGTGACGAATCACAAACATGGACCAGAAAGAAAGTAAATGCTGGTGAATATGCAAATTATTAATCTTCCCAGGATCCCTGTCTCATGGTTTTATTACATTAATATAACCTGTTACTCAAGCCTGAGAGACCGTTTCATTAACATATCCTCAGATAAAATCTTGACTGTTTGAAAATTCTTTTAGTTTTAAATGAAAAGAGAAAGTAAAGGTCTGGTATTCCCTGAATAAATGCAAATCACTCACCACCTTTAGTAATAGAATTTTAAAGTAAGATTATGCGAAGAAATGACATCATCACGCAATGTGATAGTGTTCAAAGTAAAATTTGTGACACTCCACACCAAATTTTAGCACAATATCATTAAACCTGACTGAATTATAATTAGCCCTGTGATGGACTTGCGACCTGTCCAGGGTGTACCCCGCCCCTCGCACTGTGACTGCCGGATATGGGCACCAGTGACCCACGCAACCCTGAAAAGGAAGAAGCGTGTACAGAAAATGGATGGATGGATGAATTATAATTAGTTTTTTTTACTATGCTGTGTGTTTACTCATGAGATATTTTGCTAACAGAGCAAACAAAAGAACAAATATGGAGTAAGTGTATTTGAAACTCAGGATCTCAAATGTTACATTAAAAAGTGTTTTGATATGTGAATTTAAATAATTTTTAATATTTGGGATATTTGTAAATTAAAATTAAAGATAACTAGAGAATTTACTTTACTTAAATCATTTCATAAGGTGAATGGACAGACGGATGGATGAACGTACAGCTGGACGGACGGACGGACGGGGGACGGGGGGTGCTAAAGTGATCTTGTCAAACTACTACACAAATGTATTGAGTAGGTCTCCTTTATCTCCTTTATGATGTACAAAAAAATTGGTTCAGATCAGGTCATGTATGTGTGATTTAGAGCTAACCCTGTGCAACCGGCAAGGCCATCAGCATTTGCCACTCTGCCACACCGACACCATCCCACCACCAGTCAGTGTTGAGAGAAACATGCAGCATGTGAAGTCTGCATGTTCAAAGCTGTAGGGGGAGTTAGCTCAGATACATGTGCAAGAAAAGAGACAAACTGTCAGCTTTGATCCAATATGGCCGACTTCCTGTGGGGTTTGGAACATGACTCCAACAGACTTTTTTATAGGTCCTGAGATGTTACATATGTATACCAAATTTCATGATTCCAGGTCCAAGCACGACTTGGGGCTGATTTTTTAAAATAATTGAAGGGGGTGTTGTGGAGGAATTAAGCTACGCCCCCTAAAATCAGACAGCATTCCTGTAGTGGGGTGGATTAGGATCAACCATAGTGAGATGGGTGCAGATTGGCTGAAATATGTGTAATTTAGAGCCAAACATGTGTTAACGGTGTGATGTCTGACTTCGCCGCACCGCCATGACCATGTTGTTCACCAAAACGTCTGTGCTTGAAAGCAAATGAGATCAATAAAATGGCAGAAAAAGCTAATTATTTAAAAAAATTTGAATTGCAGAAATACCAAAAGTCATTGCCGGAATGTCCTAAAGAAGCTGAATGTTTTGCTAAATAAATAGTTGAAATAGCACTGAAGAAAAATGAATCTGAAAAGTTTAATTAATGTTATTAATGTTCCAGGTAAGAAGTGAACCAGCTGTGATTATTTTATTTTCCAAAACAGTCTGAAGTTACTTCACTTAACCAGTAGTCCTGCATTTGTAGGCTTCACCCCATCCCTCCAGCTGTGAGTTGTTTATTTCCTTCCATAAAATGTAATGTCCCCATGCTGCTCTTTGCCAGACTCTCGTTTCTTTTTATTTGCATTCTGTATTCTCTCATGTAAAGGCTTGTTTTCGCATTTGCGACACACTCAGCAAGTTTTTATTTTATTAATTTTTTTTATTGGACTTCCTGCCTCACAGCAGTCTTTGCTTTATTTTAAACGAAATTTATGTCTCCTCAAGTAACAACGCCTCTGGAGCCTCCTCTGCTTCACTGCAGCCCATAACAACAAGAGACAACTGTTCTTTTCAAAATTAACCATAAAAGTATTTCAAAAAGAACATTTTTATATATACATATATCATGTATTTGTGCTTCGGTCATCAATTCTGTGTGAATAAAACGGATGCTTTCTTGCAGAAAAAGAAAACTCAGAGGAGACAGATGAGATGTTCTTCATGCACTCTGGTGGTTTTTGGGCCAGGAGCCAAGCAGCATGCAACACAGAAACTCTCAGACTATTTTAGTCATTTTGGACTAATGCTCTTGTTTCTGACTTGAACTGAGCCTGTTCCCCATGAGAAAAGCTGTTTCCCAAATTTTCTTCCATTACTAAGGTTTTTACTCACCAGCTGACCCTGTGAGGTTGCTGCGCAAAGAGGAGGCGGAATCAGAAAGGAAACCTGGTGCAGAGAAGTGAGAGCAGACAGAGGAGGGACAGATAGGAAGGAAGGAAGCAAGGGGAGGTGAAAATGGTGATGTGTGTGAACTGGGAGGCAGAAACAGTGGCAGACAGAAGGGCGGGGATGTTAAACGATGTCAGATAAAAAGAGGAGAGAAACAGAGGGCTGTCTGCGGGTAAAGACTGACAGCATAAGAGCAGCACAAATTAAAGCCATATTGTTTAAATGGAATGCTTCCTGTGATGGGAGGCCTCAGTTCCCAGAGGAACAGGAAGAGGTTTCATTTAGAAAACTTGTTGAGTGATTTAGACTAAATGCTTTCACTTCCTGCCTCATTCCTACTGTCTAACTGCACGTCTCCGACTGGCTACAGAGCTCATTTTGCGCAGAGTTTTAATCCACCAAATTGTTACTGCAGCTTCGAAACTTTCTGCACTTTATCTGCCTCGCCATCTCAGCTGCCTTTTACTGAATAAAAATTGCTGGCTCAAGATGTAATAAAAATTGATATCCATTAAAGAGAATTAAAAGGAGCAAGCAGCACTGTACTGCTTTGTATATGAGGAGATGTGGAGACTATTTAAGTGACTACATTTTCTCTCTCACACACACAAACACACATATTTGCACAGCTATCCCTTTGAGGACATTCCATTGACTTCCATTACATTTCTACAGCCTAACCCTGACCACAAACCCTAAGGCTAACCTCACAGGTACCTACCTGACCCTAAAACTAACCTAAACTCAATTCACACCTTGGTTTTAAACTGAACCCCCAACCCACAAAGGGCATTTAAACCAAATGGGGACTTGACTTTTGTCCCCAAATGCACCAGTTGTCCCCAAAGGTAGGATTTTTGTCTTAAAATTGCCCCCAAATGTCACCAGAAACAAACCCATTTTCGTTTTTGCATGGACTTTGCTTTGACTTACATTTATTTTTGTTTATACCTAACCCAGAGTGCAGTAGAGCGGCAAAATAAGTGAGGACCAGGAAAATGTCCTCACTTCCCAAAATGCCCTCACTTTGTTGATTAAAAATGTGTCGTAGTCCTCACTCTGTAGCAGAAACAAGTACACACACACACACACACACA